CACCCCCAAATTCCAAATTCTGACCCACGAAATTGTGAGTAAAATAACGGTTTGAAGCCTCTATGTTCGGTGTAGAATTCTATGGAGCAAGCATCCCCGTGACTTTCTGTGGGGACTGTGGTCCACTGGGCTGGGCATGGCAGTGAGAAGTCGTGCCCCATAAAAGGGTGGATGGCAGTTTCAGGAACTCTCCCAGGTAAAGGGGCAAGGAGGGGCATCTGGTGGGGAATGGTGCAGGTGGCTGCTCCCTGGAGAGCATGGTTGAGCTCTCAGGTCTCTTTCAGTCCAGGACAGAAACCCAACATTCTGACACTGCCCGAACAGTCGTCCCAAGCCTGTGCCTACAGCGTGCGCTGTGATCAGTGGGGACCAACACAGGCGACCGAGCATCGAGTGGCTCACGGTATCACGACTGGTCCCGAGAGATCTCCATGTGACCTGGGGAGGGCAAGCAAGTTTCCCAGGGGCACTCAGAGTGGGGTTCACAGCCTGGACCCCGGCTGTGCCACCAAGAGAGAGTGGCTGTGCCCCTCTCAGCAGAGTGAGATTGTAGTACCCAAGAGGCATCACAGTTGTGTTGCGAGATAACGTCTACCTGAATCCAAGTGGCCGCATCGAGGTGAGATTTCCTTGGGACCTTGAGCCACCCCTCAAGGGGCTCAGCCTTCCCCTCCATCTCCGTGATCGGCCCATGAGCCCTGAGCCCTCCTGACCCACTGACACGGATTTTTCTTTCTGGATGAGGAGTGTTGGGGCCTCACAGATGGTCCCACCTTTCCGCAGCAACTCATGCCCCACTGTGAGGGAAGAAGTGCCCTGGGATTCTTCCTGTGCGCTGAGTCTTCTTGTCTTCCAGGGGACCCATGGTCCCCTCCCCTACAAAGACTGTTGGTGAGCGTTTCCACGGGACTCACACGTTCAGGCACTCAGTGCTTTCCCAGAATCTTCTTTTCCAGTGTGCTCCTCGTGATGCTTCTGTCCTTCTAAATCCCCTGCCCACGATGTGCTCTGGTCATTTCCTCTTTTATGCCACATGGACTTCGGAGTGAGGTCTACTAAAAACATTTACCTTCTTCCCTGTCTTTCTGAATCATTTCTTGTCGGTTCTGACAAATGTTTAAAATGGACTCTGGAAAAATAGAGGCCATTATAGTGTGTGCTATTTCCTGTGGTGTAAACACCCCCAGTAGGGCTGATTTTAAGCTCCCACCTCACGGTCACTGGATGTGGAGCCGGGAAGGAACATGTGGTGGCATCCACTGTGCGACAATTCTGCCAAGCAGGTACCGCAGGCGTTGGGGATCCCAAGAACACAGTACATAACATTGAAATACAGAAAAACAGGAAGGAATGGATTTAGAGTACTTTTCAAACTTGTTTTTCATAGGTTTAATGGTAAGCTTGTAACATTTTGTTTTATATAGCGGCTACATTTTGCACTGAGCCTGGAATGCTCCTGGAGGTTTAGCAGTTGGCTCTGGAGAATGAGTCCAAGCTCGCTGCTGCTCCCGGTGGCTGAGCCTCATGGTTTTTAGCTGCTGGTCAGGGCTGGGATGCAATGCAGGGCTCCCTGCGGGCGGGGCTCAGGGCTTCTCTCCTCCTGGGATCACTCATTGGAGCTCTGCAGGAGGACTTGTAAGGGCCTTAGGGATGGACAACAGTAGCCTGGGCCCTGCTCTAGAGCTTACTGTGCTCCAGCATGGGCTGTGTGTGCGATCTCATGCAGATGCAGGGCCGCGCCCTCTTCTATCTGACAGCTGGCTGGAAGACCGGGCACCAGCACCTTGTGTTAGTGGAGGGGCCCCGCTGAGGAGCTGGCTGGTACCCATCCTGAGCCAGTGCCCTGCTCTTCCTGGCTTTGGCTCCTTGGCTGGCATTTCCCTGTCCTCTCCTGGCAGGAGCCCAGTTGCCCTGTTACCCAGGGTGGCATGCTGGTAGGTGCTGGTGCTGGTTCTTTAGTACATCTCAGACTGTACTTTGTAACCAACAGCATCGCTTTCAACGCATTATCAGAATTGTGTGGTCACAATTGCACTTTGCAATGAGTCTATGTTTTGTTAGCTAGAAAATAAGACTAGTGTTATTGATCCTTTAGATCAAGATTAGACAATGCCCTGCACCTAGATCCAGTGAGCTAATGAATGGTTGTGGTAGTTGTGGTATTTGAGCCATTATAAGGCCATGGTCCATAGAGAAGGAGTTATTCACTGTGAGTCTACAGCGGTGGAAAAATCATGCTCTTTGAAACTGACCTGAAGGGGAAGAAGTTAGAAATGAGACCTAAAAAGTCTTGACTGTGGCCATTGGTGAGTTTGGTCTGTCCTCAGTTTACCTGGAGGTGGTGGGGACAGTTTGTGGTCTGAGCCTGTCTTTTCCTGTCTTGTCTCTAGGATGGATTCCTGTGATGCTAGACCACAGGGAGACAGAGCCTCCCTGTGTGTGCCCAAAGCCTCCTCTGGGGTGGAAGTTAGTCTTCCAGTTCTCTCTTTGAGGATGATTTCAAGCCTTTATGGAAAGGAAAAAGAAAAAAAATGTCCCAGGAAGCTGGGATTTGCAAGCCACGCAAAGGGTGGGATGGTCACACCGTGTGAGCAAACTTGCAAAAGGGTGTGTGCATTTGAGTTGGGTTAGGATAACAGAAAGCAAGGCTCCAGGAGGTTGCAGCAGTGGCAGGTGTCACTGCTCAGAGTCCGTCTCCAGAGTTCAGTCTACTGGTGTCCCCCCGCCCGATGGGCACCGCCAGGTGTGAGCGTGGAAGTCCAGTATTTGCCGTCAGTGGGCATGTCCTGCCTTTGGGGCTGAATCACGTCCTCCTGGTTATAGGTCCAGGGCCGTAGTCATGAGCAGTGATGAGACAGGAGGATTTCTCTAAATAATGTGATCTGGCAAATCTCCCAGAAATTCCCCTAAGGGCAAGCCACCGTGCACTCAGTGTGGTGTGTTTTGTCAAATTGTCAGACACTTTGGTAGAATAAACAGCTGTGTTGTAGATGAAAGGCAGCACCGAATAATAATTCCTGCCTGGTAAAGAGTGAGCTTTTCATAATATAATGCAATTCTGAGAGCAACAGTAGGAGTTTCTGTGGCTTCTGTAGTTGTCTGAATGGCAAACTCTTAATATTCCATCCACCCACTCATTCACCCGTTCACCACCTACCCACGGGTCCATCCATCCCCACCCACCCACCCGTTCACTCACTGGTCAACTATCCACCCAACCATTCACCCAACGCCTATGCACCCACTCACCTGTCCACACACTTGCCCACCCATCCTTCCACTCACCAGTCTATCCCTCTGTCCACCCAGCAGCTCAGCCATTAGCCCTGCCCACCAACCCATCCAACATGTAAGTACTGAGTCAAGTGCCCAGCACTACAAGGTGCAGACGCAGAGATGGGCAAGACACTCAGAAGCAGACACACAGAGCAGTGTTCGTTCACCCTTTCCTGCAGGGGAGCCCACTGATGCTGGGGTCAGGGAGGGTATCTGAGCTCCTTGGATGGCTCTGGATTCACGTTTCAGGAGGAAAGCTCCCTCTTCCCCAGCTCAGCCGGGCAGGTGTGCCTGTCTAGAAATGGAGCCAGTGGGTGGGGAGGGCAGGTGATGTGGACAGGGGTCTGCAGAGGAGCTCAGAGCCCAGAGCCTGAGGTCTCACGGGTTTGGGCTCAGTGCTGCATGTTAGCTGCTCTCACCTGTTCTCCAAGGCCAGGCGGGGGTGCTTGGCACGGAGGGCAACTCTGAGCCTCTACCCTGGCAGCCCAGGGCGATGAGCTTCTCTTTGGGAATCTTCTGCAGATGAATGTGGAAACCACTGCCAGGAGGAGAGGGTGCAGCCCTGTTTTTCCCCTGCCCTGGGGATTGAACCAAGGGCTTTTCACTGAGCTATATCCCAGCCCTTTGTTAATTTCCTATTTTAAAACAGGGCCTTGCTAAATTGCTGAGTTGCCTAGGGGATGCTAAACGTGTGATCCGCCTGCTTCTGCCTCCCATCTGAGCCATGGGATTACCTGACTCGCAGTACAGTTTTGACCAGAGTTGTGGGAGACAGTCCCTGTGGGGTGGTCCGGGGAGCCCTAGGCAGCGCAATGCAGGGCTGCGGAAACTCCCTTTCATGGGTCTCCACAACCTTTTGTCCAGGGCAATGAGGGCTGAGTGGGACAGACATGCGGGACCAAAGGACGCAGATGACAGGCACAGTGGAGTTCCTGGGTGGACTCACACGGGTCCAGGGGGTGGGTGGCTGTGATGCCCTAGAGGTGGTCTCAGCCATTGTCGGCTTCTGGGGAAGAATTCAACCTGGCTGTGCTTTCCATGGTCCCTTTTAGATCATGATACAGCCTGAGGTGACTTACACATTGTTTTAAAGTCTAGATCCTTTGTGCCTGCGTCGATGGGGCCAGCATTCTAAGCTCTTCTTGGCTTTGGGGTTTCTCCAGGATTAGGACCAGAGCTAAGACAGTGGAGTCTGGAAATACCATGCAAAAGGGAACCCAGGACACTGAGAATGCTTACGGCCACTAGCTGTGTCCGACCCTGGCTTTATCATGAGTTATTAAACTCTTTTTGTCTGAAGATTTGATTGTAGCCAGGGGGTGTCCTTAGCAAGGTTGCTGGGGGTGTGGCCTGGAAGGGTCACTCTTTCTCCAGCTCCTTCCTTGATCTCCCTCTGCTTCCTGGCCCTCAGCCCTGAGCAGCCCTGTTCCACGTAGCCCGTCCACCCTGCTGCCTGGGGGAGCTGGCAGACTATGGACTGAACCCTCCACAACCATGAGCCAAAGTAAACCTTCTTGTAAGCTGGGGTCAGGTATTGTGTCTCGGTGACAAGGAAAACAACTAAGACACAACTCAACTCAAAGATGCTGTCCTTGGACCCTGGGTGGAGGGGCTGACATCCTGAGTGTGCAGAGCAGGGGCGGCACACTCAAAATAGCTCATTCTCCCACCTGCGGCAAAATTGTCAGCTTCTCAGTACACACACGGAGAAGAAGAAACCGAGGCCATATCAAATTTGTTTTTATTTGTTCCAGTCAAAAAAAAGAGGAACTCCTCAATATGTAAACAGTTTCCCTAACACAGCGAGTTCTTAAAGATATATATATTATATATTTGTATTCATTTTTATTCTAAAAAATTTTGGCATTGTAGTGATTTCTCAATACATAATTTGTGCTTTCGCAGTGAGCATGCTTTTGTCTCGTCCGTGCACAGACGTTACTTGGAGTGGAGGCGAGGGACTCACAGGAGGACCAGAAGGAGGGGCAGGAGCCAAACTAGTACTAGAACTCGACCTGGCTTTGCTTTTGAAGAAGCGTAGTGACAATTTGACCTCAGAAACAAATCTTAGTTACTTGATCATGAAGAAAAGTCAGAAGCCTTGGCAGGATTTTTTGAAAGATGAAATTCCTTATTTTTTAAAATTTCTATTTAACTCTAAAGGGTCAGGGAAAACTGTGTTTTGTATACTGTTTGTTTCAGCATCTGCACTTCCCTCCTTCAGCAAATCTGGTTATGATTTTGCTAGACATGTAGTAAGCATGTAACTAACTACACACGGCTGGAGTTTCCTTAGTTTCTTTCTGTTTTTCAAGGATTCACTGAATCCCTTTAGAGGGCTTCCCGGTTACGTCCAAGGATGGTTTGCTTTTTTTCAGTGAAAAGTGTTATTTTCGTCCCATCCTAAAGACTGGAGATCCCTTTTCAGCATTATGGCATGTTTATGAATAGCTTCTCTGATGACACCCCTTCCTCAGTCATGTTCTGTAGCCTGGAGTTCCACGTCTCCTACGGTTCAGCACCAGTTTCCAAATGCACGTTTTATCAGACCTCACGGTGAGCCACCCACCCTGTGTCAGCTGGCCTAAGCATTCTCCCCGGGGCAGAAGTCTCTGGTCTCTGGGCCCCTCCTATGCTGGGTCCTGACACCGAAGTGCCTCCCCCCTTGGATCTGTCTCCTCCAAAGCCCGCCCGGCTCGAAGTGACGTCAGAATACAACCCTCCCTTCCCTCTGAACCATCTCCTACTGCTTACACAGAAGCTCCTCTGCTTCTGGTGCATCCCAGCACATTTGTCATACCTACTACTGTGGACTGCGTTGTCTCCTTCCTAACGCTAGACTCAGTTTCTCCAAGTGTGAAGTGGAACCAGCATTTGTTCACAGGCTTCCACGCAGGCAGCATAGTGGTGTCGCATGGTAAGCGGTGGGCCTGCTGGGGACTGTGGATGGGTATTACTGCCCCAGAGTCCACACTCTCGCATAGGCATCACTGGCTGCATCAGAAGGGTTCTCTAAGGATTTGTGGCCAACTTTCAGTCAGGTGAATGTGTATTTGGAGCACTGATGCGGGGCCATCAGACGGCTTTCTGATTTCATCCTGGTCTAGGTTAAGGTGGGTGCTGGATCCCTGGAGAACAAACATGGTAATGTGTTCCAGCTCCCAGCATTGATGGGCTTCCCTGCACCGTGGCAACCAAACACTATTTCTCTGCAGGATGTAAGCGTTTGATCAAAAACTTAAGTTCTTAGGAAAGTGGCTGGGGATAAAAAGAAAGCTTGTGTATCTGCATCTAGCCATTAATTAATTAATTTTTAAGATCATTTTGTTCTGACAAGTTCTGTGTGCGGGTGAGAGAGAAATTCTGGTCAAAGGAAACACAAAAGTTCACAACCATGCAACCTCCAAACCAGTTCATCTCACTCTAAAGTTTCACAGATTTACAATTAAAGCAACTATTGAAACTTGGGCACCACTGTAGACTTTTGCATGGCAGAACCTCCTGGAATATTTTTTTTTCTATGTTAGGAATTGGCTCTTACATTGTATTAGGCCAGAGAGAATATTTTGGGCCTTAGTATTATATTATGCTATTTTATTAGGAAAGACAGAATTAATTTCTTTCAATTCTTGTTCACTTGACAGGAAGAAAACAGCTACTAAATCTCACTATTTCTATATGATTAAAATGAAGCAGAGCACAGTGATACATATAAGAAGGGAAGATGGCTAGAATAGAGTAGCGGAATTACAATATCATTATGGTTTAAGGTTTTTGCTTCCTTAATTATCTTCTATTTGCTTTCATGTGTGTTTTTGCCTGAGGTCCTAGATGCATGTTTCAGGGAGAAGAGCGTTAGATTCAGGTCAAAAACAAGGCCAGGAAACGCCGGGGTAGTGTCGCACGCCTGTAACCTCAGTACTTAGGAGGAAGAGACAGGAGGATTGTGAGTCTGAGGCCAGCCTGTGCCACATAGCAAGTGCAAGGCAACCTGGGCTGTGTAACAGGAGTCTCAACAAACAAACAAACAAACAAACAGACAGACTCAACCATTAAACAAAACAAAGTGAAAAACAAGTTGCCAATGACCTGTTGGAACGTCACGAATGAGCCTCAAGCGGCGGCTGTGCGATTGTGCAGTTAATTTCTATCAGTGATGCTAGTCTTCACTGGGGCATTTTCTGCACAGAGGAGCCCACAGTGCTTACCTAGGAGGTTACTACCTCCCATCTCGTCCACCTGCTGCCAGGGTTAGTGTAGCAGAGGAGGGAGGGAGATGTGGTTTGCAAGGGGCTGCTGGAAATAAGTGTGTGGTTGGTAGTTGAATTTCACTGCTATTAGCAAAGGAACCAGGGAAATCATAAAAAGGATAAGACTTAAAAACTCATACGGGCCCGTTTAGCGGTGTAGACCTGAGCTGCTGAGTGTGGGTTGGAACTGATATTAAAGTCTCAGAAGTGGAGCCTGTGGAGTGCAGATGCCTGCTGAGCAAGACAGGGAAACTAGCAGCAGGCTGCATGTCCTTCTCAAGGTCAGGGAGTGTTCATCAAGAAACACTGCAGTCTGGACCACAAAACACACTTTAACACATTTACAGTTCAGAAATCCTACAGCATCTGTCCTTAGATCATAAAGGAGTTAAGGTAGAAATTAAAAACAGAAAGACAGATGAAAAATCTTCGCACTCTTTAAGATTAAGTGGCATAATTTTAATAAAGAAATCTCTAGAGAGATTAAAAATATTGTGAACTACATGGAGATATTAATACAATTTATACAGTGAAAGCAGTCCTTAGAAATTGATAGTATTGAATGACTATTAGAAAAGATGATCAGAAAGCAATCATCTAAGCTTGCATCTCAGGAAAAGAGCAAATTAAATTCAAAGTGAGCAGATGGAAATAAATAAAAATTAGAGCAGTGATGGATGAAGTTAAAGGCAGGAACTCCATTAAAAATCAGTGGGGGGAACTCAAAATGGGTTCTTTTAAAAAAATCAATGAGAGACAGAGAGAGAGAGAGACTGGGAATTACTAATATCAGAAACAAAACAAGAGGCATCACTACAGACCTCATAGACGTTGATAGGCTAACGAAGGAAAGTTATGAACAATCCTTTGCCTACCAAATTGATAACCTAGGTGAAACGCCAAAACTAATACCAGAAGAAATAATCTGAATAGGCCTATATTTATTAAAAATTGGAGTAAATGATTAATAACTTTCCCAAACAAAAAGCACTAGGCCCAGATAAGTTCACTAATGAATTCTACCAAACAGTTGAGGAAGAAATTATACCTAATCTTTATAATCTCTTTTATAAGACAGAAATAGAGGGAACACTTTTGAACTCATTCTGGAAATCTACTGTTACCTAGTACCAAAACCAAACCAAGATACTATAAGAAGAGAAAACTTCAGATCAACCTCTCATGAATGTAGAGACAGAAATGTTCAGTAACATGTTTGCAAACTGAATCCAACAAAGTGGTAAAAGAATTATGTGGCATAATCAAAAGGAATTTATTCCAGGTAAATATGGCTGGTTTAACATTCAAAAACCAATTAGTACAACCCACATTAACAGACTAATAAACAAAATTGTATGATCATATCAATAGATGCAGAAAAATCACTTAATAAATCTAAATAATGATTCATGGTAAAAAGCCTCCACAAATTAGGAATAATGGAACAATTCCACTACCTGATAAGTGTATTCAAGAAAACTTTTTAGGTGTCATCTATTCAAAGGTGAGAAACTTGGAACTTTCTCACTAAAATAAGATCAGGAACAAAGCAGAGGTCTCTTCTCATTGTTCTTTCTTTCTTTCTTTCTTTCTTTCTTTCTTTCTTTCTTTCTTTCTTTCCTTCCTTCCTTCCTTCCTTCCTTCCTTCTTTCCTTCTTTCTTTCTTTCTTTCTTTCTTTCTTTCTTTCTTTCTTTCTTTCTGTCTTTTTGATGCAGAATTTTGCTATGAAGTTTAGGCTGGCCTTGAACTCATTATGTAGCCCAGGCTAACCTCAAACACGCAGCAGTCCTCCTGCCTCAGCCTGCCGAGTGCTGGGATTATAGGTGTGTGCTGCCATGCCTGGATACCTTGCTTGCTTTTTTGAGGCGGGTTCTCTCCACCTTTGCTTGACCGACCTTGAACTCCCAATCCTGCCGTCTCAGCCTCCCGAGGGGCTGGACTTGCAGGCTGTGCCACTGTGCCTGGTTCAGCACCGCTTTTCAGCATGGCCCTGAAAACCTTGTTTAATAAAATAAGATGAGAAAAGGAACTAATAGGTATCCTGACTGGGAAAGAGTCCACAAAGCCTTGTTTGCAGATGATGTGATTCCCTATGTAGAAAATCTAAAAGAATTGATGAAACTCTCCTATTTTTGAAATAATCCATTATAGCAAGGTTACATGATGGAAAATTAACATGCAAAAATAATTGCTTTCTTGTATACCATCTATGAACAGTGGAATTCAAGATTAAAAGTACATTATCTTTTAAATTAGTAACCTTCAAGTGAAATGCTTAGGTATAAATCTAATGAAACATATGCAAGATCTGTGTGAGGAAAATTATAAAACTCTGATGAAAGTCATTAAGAAAATGTAAAGAAGTGGCGATGCGTTCTGTGTACCTGAAAAGGAAGTCTCAGTGTGTCAAGGAGTCTGCTCCTCCAGCTTGATCTACAGATTCATCAATTGCCAATCAAATACCCCACCGGGTGCTTTATGAATACAAACCAATTCTAAAGTTTTCATGTAGAAATGAAAAGATCTAGAGTAGACAACGCGTTACTGGAGAAGCAACACCAAACCAGAAGACTGATAGCACTAGACCTCAAGACTTCATGTAAATTTATGATAATTAAGACAATTTAGTTTTGGCAAAAGAATGGGCATATAAGCCAAAAGAAAGGGATTGAGATTCCGTAAATAGATTTGCATAAATACAGGTAACTAATCTTCAACAAAGAAGCAAAGGCTTATTTTCGACAAAGGGGAAAAGATAGTCTTTTCAGTAAAAGGTGTTGGAACAATTGAACATCCATGTTAGGAAAAATAGCCTGCACGCACACGCTTCATGAAAACTGACTACAGATCTAATGTAAAATGCAAAATCATAAAGCCTCTAGAAGATAACAGAGGAGAAAATTTAGAGAATCTTGAGTATGATCCGTGAATGATAAACTAGATTTAATTAGGTGGATAAGCTTCTGTCCTGCAGAAACAATGTCAGAGAATGACAAGGTAAGTCACAAGATTGGGAGAAAATATTTGCAAAAGATACCTCTGGTAAAGAGCTATTATTCAAAATATACAAAGAGCTTTCAAAACTCAACAGTGAGACAACGAACAGCTAATTATGAAACAGACAAAAGACCAAGGCAGACATCTTCATGGGAAGGGATATAGAAATGGAAAGGAAGCTGAGAAAAGGGTGTTTATCCTTGTGTGTCAGTAGCAATTGCAGATTGAGACTGCAGTGAAATAGACTGCACACTTATCGGAACGGCTAAAACTCAAAACTTTGATAACGTCAAATGCTGATGAGGGTGTGGGGCATCAGGAATTGTAGTTCAGAGTCCAAAAGGGTAGAGCCCCTCTGAGAGGCAGTTTGCTAGCTTCTTCTAAACTAAGTGTAGTCATGGCATTACAGTAGCACAAACGTGTTCCTTCCAGATAAACTGGAAACTTATCCATGCAGAAACCTACACAGATGTACAGAGGAGATTTACCCATAACTGCCCGAACTTGGAGGCAACCGAGATCTCCTTAAGTAGTGAATGGACAAACCGTGGTTCAGTGCAAATGAAATGTTGCTTAGTGCTAAAAATAAAAGATCTGCCCATACATGGAGAAACCTAATGCACATCATCAAGTGAGAGCGTCTGATCTGAAAAGGCTATGGATCGTGCAGTGTCAACTACCTGACATTCTGCAAAAGACAAAATTGTAGAGACTACGGAAGTTGCTACCACTGGGGCTGGACAGAGATAAAGAGAGCACAGAGCATCTTCCGGACAGCAAAACTACTCTGTGAGAAACTGTATTGGTGGATCCACGTCATTATACATGTGCCCAAACCATGGAATGCACTGCCCCGAAAGTGAGTGCATTTATCACCTGGAACGGACACACCACTCTGGTGTGCTGTGATGGGGCTCAGGGGGCAAATCAGAATTACTTTCTGCTTAATTTTGTTACGAACCTAAAGGTGCTCTCAAAAAGATAATTTATCGATTACTAGAAGAATAAGAGGAGAAAAATGTTTTCAGAGCAGTCCAGTGAGTTATGCAGGAACTCACAGCTCATCTGGGGGCAGGACCAGAATTCTGTTCTCCTAATGTGAGTCCAAGGTGTCCAGAAAGCTGAGAAAGAAAGGCTGTTTTATGACCATGGCCTGTGAGTTGAGGGAAGTTAAAAAAAGGAACCACAGCGACAGTGGGGGAAATGTGATTGTCACTCTTAAGGCTTGGGCTTCCTAAAAATTTACTTATAAGAACCAGCTCACCCGTGGCTGAAAAGAAGTATGTATGGGAATGTGTGTGTTTGAGTACGTGTGCGTGTATGTGTGTAAATGTGTGTATTCAGGTGTGTGTGTGTGTGTGTGTGTGTGTGTATACCTGTGCACGGGGAGGCAGTGTTAGATTTGTGAGCTAATGCGTTAGTTACAGAGGTCTGAGAACGCCGTCATCGTGCTGTGTACCAGGGGACAGATCTGGAAATGCCATGTGTGCTGTTGATGCCTGCTGTGACAGAGCTAGAAAGGAGGTGCCCGCTGTTACCATCTAGGTTGTAGAAAATTCTCATCTGTGCTCTATGCCCAGTGCAGACCCAACAAGCCCACCAGGCCAGCTTCACACTCTGGAATCTATAGAGGCGCCCCCTACTGTGGGCAGAATCAGAGATCCATCACTCTCCTGCAAGCAGACCCTCTGCTCACTCTGTTCCTCTAAAGTGTCCCTGAGCTGGAATTTCCTGCAGTTTGTGTGCAAGGTGTGTGTGTGTGTGGTGTGGGAAGGACTGTTTAAAGAGTAGCTTAAAAAAATTAAAGAATAGCTTTTTAGAAGCAGTGTAGTCATTATTAAATGCGAGCAATGGTGAGCAGGAAGAGGAATGTTTGTGGGGGTCCTGCCTGTCTCCCTGGTGCCCCCCAAGGCTGTGTGTAGGTGGAGCACCCAGGAGCCTCAGTCCCTGGCCGCCAGCTGCCTCCAGTCTGCACCAGAGAGGTCCCTGCAGATAGGCTGGGGGTTGCCATGGCAGCAGCCATCTGCATCTCCTGGGTTTCCCCATGAGTGCCCGGTGTTCTCCCCAGAGCACGGTATGTGCAGACTGCAGGAGGGGAAGGATCACTGTGCCAGCAGGCAGCTATCTGGATCATGGCAAAGCCCTCTGTGCATTGCCCGTGTGGCTATCTTTTTACAGGGGGGTACTGATCCAGGATGAAATCACCCCTCAGACAGAAGGGGCCAGGCAGGTCACATTTTGGCAGTGAAATGAGGAGAGACCCCAAGGAAGAGCAGCAGGGCAGGGCGCTTGGATGGACCTCTGAGGTCAGGAGAAAGCTGGGTGGGGGCCCCTGGGGACAGCCTCTTGTGTCGCAGTCCAGGGGAGAGCCTTGTGGGTGAGGGTGGGACCCTTGACCTGCTGTTCTCACTTGGTGACCCGCAGGGGGAAACCAGGACAGAGTTTTTGTCCATGGTGGAGTGGGTTTAAACAGATCAAATCACCAGACTTTCTTAAAAAATGGGAACAGGAAGGTGGTGTTGGTGACAGGCTGAGTCTGTCACCATGATAGCCCAAAGGGAGAATTTCTAGAGAGTGAAGAATTAGGTATTTGAAGAGAAAAACTCCACAAAAATACTTTGGTGACTGCACTGGGAAAGTCAGTTGTTTATGCTCCATTTTTGCTGTATATTATTTTACTAGGGTTTTTACAGGGGTGGGTCACTCTGATGGTTAGTGGACACTGAGGGTTTTGAGAAGCCACCACTGCAGACTCTGCGGGTATTCTGCAGGGTCAGGGACCTGGCTAAGGTGAGCTTAGATGTAGGGTCCCCAGCAGCCATGTCACAAGTTCATCGTCTCCTGCTCATGCAGAGTGACCTCAGCAGGTGGGCTTGGCTACCAATCCTGACTGAGGCTGGGGGAGAGAGGGCTTTGCCTGTACCCACTTCCAGAGTCAGTGATGCTGAGAGATGATGCCAGGGTGGATCCTGCCTTGACCAGATCTGAGGACCGTGGTCCTTCCCTCCTTTGAGGACAATGTCTGAAGACCAGAGGCTCAGCTCATGTACAGCTGGCTGGACTCCAGCTCTGTAACTCATGCTGACCATTTGTCCTGCTGGTGTTTGGGGGTCACAGACCTAACACAGATACACGCAGACACTCAGCCCAGCCCGGGGCTCTGCGTCACCAGGAGTCTGATCTTATGCTCCTGGGATATCTTGCTCCTTGTATGAGCATTGTAAGGTTTCTATTAAAATTTTAGAAATGATGATAAATCACGTGGTTAGTTCACTAGTGTTTGTTGGTAGTGGGTATTTACATTGCCTGAGAAGAACAGCCCTTCTTGTTTTTTATAAAGATTGGCCAAGGCGATTCACAGCATTTATGACCATTGTTAATACAACGGGTACTGAGCCTTAATCTCGAGATGGCCAATTACGCTTTGACAGAGAGTACATTTCATTTGAAAGTGAGAGCCACGTAATCTGGATTCTCCGCCCAACCATAGTGCACGTTAGGATTATGTCTAGGATGGGGTGTCTTTACAGACACATTTCCTTAGTGATAAACCTCCATACTGATCACACGGTCACCCCAATGAACTATTCTTGTGGGGTTTAAAAGTATTTTGCCTTCCTTCTCTAGCACTCTATTTCAACTAGGTGGATACAGGAAGCTTTCTTCTGCCAAGGCAAAGTGGCCAGGTAAAAGTTTGGCTCCTTTTACATTTTACTTAAGTTTTATGGTGTTGCACTTGGAGATTTCTTCCCCCCACTCTGGTTTATTGCTCTTCCGTGAGGGTGAGGGGTCCCAAGCGTTTGTAGAGTCTGTTTTGAAGACACCACGGTCGATTTACTTTTAGACATGAGACCAAATCCCCGTTTATCTGCAACAACACACAAGGATTCATGACAAAATATTTTCTTTCCTGTCTAATTTCCAGGAAAATGCCCATAAGAGAACTTGATATGCTTTTGATCGAACTAATCAAGAACTCAACTTGGCCGACTATGTCTGGCATCAGGATGCTTTCTTAGAATGTAAGTGAGTTCAAGTCAGTGACACTAAAGCCCAAACCTCACCGTATGGATCTCATCCATCCAGTGTTTCCGCGGTTCCCGATCGTTACCTGTGCTTCATCCACCAGCCCTCTGCAGCCCTTCTCTGCCCGAGGAGTGAACCTCCTGGGTTTCCAAGGGAAGTGTTCAGTTTCTGATTCGCACGTTAGACCTCTGAGTGGCCACAGAGGCTGAGCCATCGCACAGATGTGGTCGTCCAAGGGCCACCTTTCCCACATCCAACAGTGCTGAGCTGTAGGCTGGACGGAACTAGCAAGGAAATAGACATCTCAAAGGCCTTGTTAGATCTTCTCCAAGAGAGGGAAAGACAGCGGCCACGGCGGGGAGGGAGGAGGCCGGTTGGTGTGTGACAAGGCCACTGGGCCCCTGGAGCAGGACAGCAAGAAAAGGAAGCCTCCTTCCTGTGAGCTGCACCAGAGCGTTGGCTTTGCGAGGCCTGCAGAGCAGGCACCCCTTCATCCAGAGATGCCTTCTGTTTCCCCAGGACAGACTGGGGTGACTCCAATAGATTTATACCGGAAACCAGTCCATTCTTCCATGCTTCTTAGGAGTGTCTTAGGGTACAGTACAAGTCCCAGGAGTACTATTAGTACTCTTAAGCACTCAATGATTAATACTACTAAATAATACAGTGCAGGGGCTGGGGATGAGCTTTCTCTGCAAAGAGCTAGCTAGTAAATATTTCAGTCTTTGCCGGCCATATGCTCCCTGCTGCAATTACTCAGCTCTGCGCGGGGAGGTTGTAAGCAGCCACAGGCAAAGCATAAATAAATGGTCTGGCTGGGCTCCATTTGTGGACGCTGGAATTTAAATTTCATGTGATTTTTGTATGTCACAAAATAGTCTTTGTTCCCCTAACCATTTATAAATGGAAACATCTATCTTAGGTCACAACAGGCAGCAGGCCAGTTTCGGGTTTACCAAACTTGTTTTTTTTTCTTCTTTTTCTGGTAGTAAAAAGAGCCCCTGGCTTATAAGTTTGTGACATGGATTTGATACCACAAGCAATGATTTTCTGGTCTTGTAACCTTGGGGAAATTACTTATTTTACCGTAGTTTTCCATCTATAACAACGTACATTATAATATTCAGCCTCCCATGGGGGTTAGAATTCAATGAGATGATTTGCCTGGGTGCTTGAAATTTCCCACACAATGTCAGGTGCAATATTGTTCTGTTATTATTGTGCAATCCCTGATAGAATTTTGGCTTCTCGGTGTACACTCTGTCCAAAAGCCCTTCAAGACATTAAGGGCAGAAATTTTGGAAAGAAATGCATTTCGTTCAATTATAAATCAAAGGATAACATTTTCTTAAATATATGTTGGCCATTAAGTCTAGAAACAAGACAGTATTACGTGGCCGTACTGTAACATAATATCATAGCCTTTGTTTTTCAGTTTCTCAGCCACCCACTGGAAGGAAATCATCTAGCCGGTAACCTCTGCCGTGTGTGTAGTGTGTTTCACTGACAGTCATCCTCCTGCCTCTGTAGCATCACACAGAGAATCACCCAGTTCAAGGACAGAAAGACTGGGGGTCAGCAGGCTGTTTAGAGGCCGCTACCTATTGAGGCTCCTCCCAGTGTGGTCACGGAATTCCCACCACGTTCTTATGCCTTGTTCTCTACCTTTGCCGCCTTCTGCCAAGAGTGTCTGAATAGCCCAGTGATACTGGTTTAAATCTAAACTCAAAAAAACAAAAACAAAACCAAGAAACAGGGATGGGGGAAAGCAAAAAACTAGAACTGTTAAGAAATATAGGAGAGGAAAGCATTTGGAGACTTAAAAATTGAGACTTTTAAATGAAGTCAGGACTACCGTGTTAGGGCCCTGGTATGGTTATCCCTGTAAGACGGACTTGTGCTTAGAAATACGTTGACATTTTCAGGGACAACGGCTGGATTTCTGTTAGGGAAACAATGATACTGAACTGGATTGGTAGGTTTGGAACCAGACAGCAAGGGAAAGAGAAGAGAGGGACGGGGCGGAGGCAGCAGGGGATGAGCGTGTATGGCTGGGTGGATGTAGTGGTGGCGGGGACAGCCACGCTGGAACGCCGTGTGTGGAACAAATGTAAAAGGGCTGGGCTGCCTTTACAGCCATCCCAAGTGGGTTAGTGCAAAAGAGATGCTTGCCCTGGGGGACAGCCAATCACGCAGCGACTTAATCGCGTGAAGCTGATTTCAGGGGCTCTTTCCACTGGATAGTGTGTTGGGTGGGCAGAAGTGGGAAACTCTGAGGACCGCTCGGTCCCAGGCAGGTCACCCTTCCAGCTCTACCTGCCCTTGGCTCTAGAAATACTTTGCTCCATCACCCTGGTGTCCTATGGGACAAATGGACCTGCAGTTCAAGGTTCTTACCTAAGTCACAGATCCTGCCAGGCTTTAAGGAAAATTGCCAACTCTACCAACCGAACAGACTGAAACGCCTCCTCGACAGTGACCCCGGCAGTTACGGGCATTGTCCCGTTCCAGTCAACGTGTTTATTTTCATAGTGCTTGTTTCGATAATAGAGTACGCGCAGGAATAAGGTCGAGTAGAAAGGGTAGAAATTGTGGGGTCAGTTTTGTTGAGCTGTCTTAATGCAAAAAACCCCAGCCCCTACTTACTGCTTAGAAAACGCAGTCTGAAACGAACTTCTCTCAGGTCCAAATTTTAACAGTTGACACAAAATACACTGTTAAACCGTGTTCTCGATAACTGTAGAAAAATAGACATGTGTGAGAGGGACATTCTAATAAAAGGTCCTTCACGAGCATCCTCCTTTGAAGATTCAGAGCTCGCATTACAAAAGTGAGAGATTTGGTTCCAGTTCTGTCTCCAGCGACATTGGCAGGGGGACAGCGGGTGCCCTGTCACAGACCCAGAACAGGCACGGTGCAGATCTCATCAAGGTCTTGGGTCTCGGAGCTCAAGGGCAGGGAAGAAACCATCAGGCCCCAAGCTGCAATTCCAACACAGCCACGGCAAGTGTTTGTCCTTTGAGCCTTAGCAATGGGGTTTTAAAAGGCCCAGTGGATCTTCAAGAGAGTGTGAAGTAGGCATTTCATGGCCCTACTCTGTCTCGCTTGGTGCCACAGGACAGGGTGCCCTTCGTAAGGCTGCCATGAGGCCAGGCTGTGGCAGGCGTCTCGGGCTCTCTCCTCCTGGACTACTTCCTCCTAAGAGTGCACAGGATGGACGAACATGACTCAACAGACAGACAACCGGTGCCAAAGAGTGAACTGCCAAAAACAGGGAAGGGCTATAGCCACCAGCTTGAGTTTCCAAAGAACCAGAGCCAAGAAGTGGGTACCGAGATGCCAGGTCTCTGCCGCGGGAGAGACCCCGATGCTCAGCAGAGGAGCCGCTCTCTTTAGCTCTGGGCCGTCCTTTCCAGTGAAAGGGTCCCTGACCACAGCCAAGGCCCATGCAGCCTGCTCAGAGAAGGCGAGGGCGATGCTGAGGACAGACAGCTCTGACCTCTTCCACCTCCGGGGCTCAAGACTTCAGCTGAGTACAGCTGTAGGAGCTGAAAATAGACTTGAATCCGTTCAATGAATATTCATGATGGGCCACTGTGTTAAGGAACAAACAGTTTATAAATGCAAAAACTTAATATGAAAGATCTGTCACAGTGCAAAATCTCCACCTGCCCTGAGGTTTTTTTTTGTCTAAGATTCTCTTTCTTTTCTTAGCCATCTTTCTTTCTGAAGTTTAGATTTTCAGTACAAAGTACTCTTCTTCCCTTTCCTCTTCCTTCCTTCTTTCCTACCTTCCTCTTTGCACATTAAAATAAATTAAGGCTACCATTTTTTGTTTGTTCTCTTTTGATCAAGAGACACTTTGGATTTGATTTTTAGATAGTGGCACGCTTTAAAGAGATGCTTAGACAGTCACCAAGATGGTTGATCTAATCTTCAAACACTGAACTCTGGCAATTTAAAACTTAGAAGAAGGAGAAGGAGAAGGAGAAGGAGAAGAAAAGAAGAAGAACAAGAAAAAAAAGCCCCAATTCAAAAAATGCTGATGAATAGGTCCCCAGGTTCGGGCCAGACCTCATTCTCAGAGCGCCAGGCGGAGCACACGTTTGAAAGGTCAGTGGGGGGACATGCGTTTCTGAATTTCGAGGCTGTAGACCCAGACCTCTCCTGCTACCTCACTGCGTCTTCTTTTAAAGCCCGTGGTTCCTCATGCTTATAGGGGTGGAACAGCTGGAGAATTAGTGGTTTTGCAGAAAATTCTCCTAGATGCCCATATTCTAAAGGGCAAAAGCTCACAGGTAGAGCGTCAGGGCGACATTGGTGACATCCCAGAGAGTGTCCGGTTCCTGGCATTCTCCCCAGGCAAGTCAGCCAGACCCTTGTTATCTTTTTTTTTTTTAAACGCCCGTTTTGTAAACACAGCACAGTATGTCAGCGTGTTGGTGGTGGGTCTTGCCATCTGCTAGACCTCTCAACTGCCACCAGACCTATGGCTTATTAGATTTAACAAAAGGGTCAGCGAGGACACAGAGGTACCCTAAGGGCTACTGGGCAGGGACCCAGAACAAAGGCCAGGCCTTAAAAAATGTGGAAAAACACAGACCTCCAAACAGAAATGCCTATTGTATGCTGGGAATCTTTCTTCTTCTTCTTCTTCTTCTTCTTCTTCTTCTTCTTCTTCTTCTTCTTCTTCTTCTTCTTCTTCTTCTTCTTATGTCTAAAGTTGTATCTCTAAAATTACATGAATGACACATCTATGTACATTATTTAGAATCCTGTTCTACAGTACTTTTGTACATGCTGGGTTTTATTTCTAATTGCCAAAAGAAAATAATTACAGAAGCATAGCTATGTACAGTGGCCTCTCCTGCGCACTCCTGGCTGTGACGCCTGCCGCCGGGCGGTGAAGAGCACCTCACTCTGCGGCTGAGAAAATGGGCTGGGATCTGTAGAACCGAGGTGGCACTACTGCTGACTTCCTGATAAACAGGCACCGGAGCCTCCCTTGTCATCCCCGCACCCCCAGTGAAATCTTCGACACACTCTTTGGGGGATCTCAGATCGTACAAACAACATGCAGGTAAAAGTAGCTGCTGTCCCTAAAAGTTAAAAGGCGGTGTTTTGGGGGAGGAGACCAGGCTGGAGCCACTGAAGAGGGCACAGGGCGTTCTCTCTACCTTGTCAATCTGAACAACTGAGAGAGGGCAGGTAGGTATTTTTACACCTTGAAGATTTGATTTCCAGCAATGTCAAAATCAAAGGTAAGGAAATAAAGCGAGAAGCACGAGAGACAGACAGGAAAGGAGAGGAGAGACGGGTAGGGCTGGGAGGGCGGCGCCTCACGGGTTCTACACTTTGGATTCGCTCTCCAGGTTCGTCACATCGCCGTTCCGCTCTGTCTGCTCCTCGGGGCTCTTGTCTTCCTCCTCCGTCTCCAGTTCTGCATGCTGATTGAGTTTGCTGGACACAGACCAGCTGAGGGGCAGCTCCGCCCTGCTGGCCAGCTCGGCCAGCTCCTTGGCACTGAGGGCCGGGGTGCTGGTCTCGTAGGTCTCGTGGAAGCTGTTGTAGTCGACTTCGTAGAACCCGTCCTCCAGCGTCAGGACCGGGGTGAAACGGTACCCCCAGAGGATCTCGCTCGTGATGTAGGAGCTCCGAGCCTGGCAGGTCATCCCTGCGGGTAGGGGAGGAGAATCGGGTAAGTGTGAGGCTGGACTTCCTGGGGGGGACCCAGCTGAGTGGTGGTGGGGGTGTTACACCTGCAACTGTGCAGACTGTGGCCCACAGAGAGGGTGCCGGGGAGGGCATCCCACATGTGCACTCACACTCGTCTGCCTGGAGCTCTTCAGACCCCTGGTGGAATCTGGGGAGCAATAGAAGAGCACCCTGGTCTATACCCCCAAGCGCTTGCCCAGAAAAGCGAGGGTGCCCATGCACCCAGGGGCGCACCTGCCTGTGGCTATGCTTTGGGGACCCCAGGTCCTCTGCATGCAGTGCCTTGAGTCCTAAAAGGCCCCGGTCTTTGGTCACAGGCCTAGCATTAAGTCTGGCTGCCGGGGCCACCCTTGGGCTGCCTTGAAGCTGGGGGCCATGGGTCAGTGTCACCGCCCACCCCTGCTGTGACACCCAGGCATGGCTCTGACAACCTGACGGTCTTTCTCTCCTTCGTAAAGATGAGAAATGTTTTTCAAGTTTGCACAGAATACTGTGTGAAGCAGCAGAAGGAAGGGACTCTAGTGTCTCCTTAGCAACGACAGTGACAGCTACACAACAGACTTGCTGTCAGACACGGGACAGCCAGAGAACCACCGGTGCATTTTCCACCGAGTCAGAGATCTCTGTGATGAAACTGCGAGGACACAAACACCCAATCACTCATTCAGGGCCGACTTCTCCTTGAGAAAAGTAGGCATGGCATCTGCGGCTTATGAGACATTAATGTCCTTTAAAATCTGGGTTAAAATGAACTTTCTGGTAGAAGAAAAATGTTAATCTACTCACGAATGCATTCATAAAATATAATTAAGAAACTTCTTTTTAATAGAGCGAGGAGCCCACCAGGGCAAGGGTACCAAGGTCTCCTGAAGGTCATGCTGTGACCTTGTGATCATCCTTGGAAGCCAGGCAAGCAGTTGGGTGACATCCGTCAGCCAGTGACACGTGTCAGGCAACTGCCCGGGGCCAGAAGCAGGTGAGCTGGGATCAGAGTGTCACAGGCAGCTGGTTACATAGAAGTATTCTAGGCTGTCAGACAGGGCTGGGTCCCGGAAGGAGCCAGTGCAGAAGCCCAGATACCTTGCCACTGTGAGGGGAGCGGGGGAGATGGACACCTCTGCTGAGGGCCAGGTCTCAAGACAAGGGATCAAACACATGCTACAGATTGATAGTCTAAACAGTACTCTGTCACCCTGAAGAAGCCAGGAGTCACCACCCCAAGCCACTATGGGAAGAGTCACTGCTCCTTAGCCCACTTGCTACTTGGCTCACTTTCTCATTTGTTCCCGATTTAATCAACTTTACCTGAGCAAGTAATCTTACTAGTTGACCACAGTTCTGTCCCATCTCGCGCTCACCTTGCGAGTTCCCAGGTTTCCCCCACCTTGGACCCACCTCACCTCCTGGTTTTGCTCCATAAAAGTCCTTAGAAAAGACAGAGTCCTTGGCAACCTGCTCAGGACCCCCTTCTGTCTCTCTTCAGATAGAAGCTTTCTTTCTCTCAATAAATATATTCTGCTCTTAACCTTTGTTGTTCCTAAAATTCATTCTTCGATTTTAGAGAACACAAACTCATACCAGACATCTAGTAGGCTGAGAGTCTCTTTCCCCTATGTCAAGAGGGCACTGGGGGTCACAGTTACCGAGTTTGCTCTGTGGGACTGGAAGAGGCAACTGGGGTATCAGGTCTGACAGTAAAAAAGACAATTGGTGAAAAGGGATGGAATGGGGGGCGCTAAGGGGACAAAAAAGCACAGAGTCTGGACACACAGGGGGACGCTGCGGAGCCCGGGGCACACTGAGGTGGTGGACAGTGTCCTAAAACCATAACCTGCGGACACTTAGCAGTAAAAAGCCCAGGAGTCTTTTAAGTAACTATGACACAGACCCAGCCATTAAAAGATTCCCATAAAGAAATTAGAATTTCAGTCAATTTTGAAGAATAGTTGAAGGAAACATTTTGGGATAATGACAACAACCATGGTGACCAAGAAATAGAAAAGGATCATTTTTCACTGATTTTATAAGGCAAGTAATAATAATAATAATAATAGGAAAGTTGTAAGTATAGCAATAGGAAGAAAAAGAAAAGACAAAAAGATAAAGAAATGTTAAACCAGTATCAATTGGATGTGCGGGGAAAAAAGTCCTAGAGAAAATACCCAAACCTAACAGTTTATAAGGAAAAGATATGGCATGAACAGATCAGGTTTACCTTAGCAACGTGAGAGTGGTTTAACGTTAGAAGGCTACCTGTGTCACCTTGGTCTTTGTTTGGTGCCATAGGTAAATTCCTAGGGGCGGGGAAGATGTGGTCACAGGTAAATTCCTAGGGGTGGGGAGATAGGAGCTCCTTGGTTGCCTCTAAGGCTTCACAGGCTACAGTGTCCTGTCTGGGCCAAAACCCTTTCAGTACCACCGTGCCCAGCCTACACCTTTACACTTAATTCCACTCTTACTGAATCCTTGATGCATTTATAAATTATTAGAGTAAGTAATCAATGTTATTGAGTGTTTATTGTGTGCCAGGCACTGGGTGTTATGTGAATCTGCCATTTCACCCTTCCAACAGTTTTCTGGGATAGAAGACATTGTGGTCCCTGTTGTACAGGTGAGCAAACTACAGCAAAGAGTCCAGTAACTTCCCTGGGCTATAAAGAGTCTGCCCCTCAAATCCCTAGCCTTAAGTCCTGGCCCCAGTGTGACTCTCTTTGGAGCCTGGGAGACAGTTAAGGCTCCTGATCTTCAGGTTGGACCTGAGCCTGTAAGACTGGTATCCTCATGGGAAGTGGAGGAGCCACCAGAGCACGGTCTCAGGTGCAGAGCAAGAAGGCCGTAGCTTCAGCAGTAGGAAGGCACCCTCACCAAGAGCGGGCCCTCGGTGCAGTGCTCTGCGGAGAAAACAGAAAGTCTGTTGTTTAATTAAATCCGCAGCCTGCATGGCTTGGCTGTGGTGCCCAGCAGGTGAGTAGGTGCGGGGAGGGTGCGTCAGGCTTGGGAGCTCTGGTCTCTCCATCACATTCATTTCTACATTTAAAGGCAGAGATTGTGTGGTAATTTGCATCTTTGTAACCCTTGTTGTGCGCTGCACTTAAGGGTTGGTGACTCATAATGACCACAGTGATGCACAGGACATGAAATAAAATGGAGCACAGAGGCGGCATCACAGCCCAAGGCGACTGCCGCCAACAACCCCATCTGCTGTTAAACTCCCTCCCTCCTGCCTGCCTGTGTTCCCTGTGGGCTCTCCTTTCACCCTCGCCCGCCTTGTCCTGCACACAAGTGCTGTTTGTTCTCTCCCAAGCAGGGAGGCCCGGGCTCCTGTCTTTGGAAAATTGCTTGGAGATGCTGATCAATGCTCATTATTTTTAAGAAATCATGACAGCCCTCTCATCAACCTCAAATGGAATTTTCTTCTATTTGTATATTTCTATCTCTTTGTCTAACAGTAAAAACTGCGTTCCCCAGAAAACCGTGCACTCACCACTGACTACTCAACGAAACACATGCAGTTGGTTTGGCATTTACACGAGCTGTACAAGCCTCAGACCTTGAAGCCTATGACCAGACATGTTTCCTGTTGAGACAGGAAAATCTATGTTCCCTACATATGCATCCTCAAAAACCGCACGGCACACATCAGGACTTTGAGGACCAGTCAGAGACTGCCACATGCATCTGAAAACCAGTCGGAAAGCTACCTTGCTTCCAAAAAATTCCACCCTAAAGAACACTCATCAAAGACTACGCTACAACTTCTTTCCGTTCCTCCATCAGCCCACAGTCCTTTCAAAGGAGCAGCCTTTGGTGGTAGTGGGTTTCCTTGCACGAGCTGAATAAGTGACCTTTCTTGAATTTACAGCTGCTTTTTGTTCTTTCCACGCTATCAGTCACGCTCCTGGGAGGCAGAATGGAAAAGGTCTTTGTCATCCTAGGCTGTTCTCACTGAGGTACTGGGGGAACTGTGCTCCAAAGTCACTTGAATTCATTCATTTTGTATGTGGTTGTGTTGTCCAGTGGATAACTAGCTGGGATCCTTAGTGTCTATTTTGTATTTCCTTTTAGGATTAGCTTTTGTGATCCTTTTATTTTTTCTGTAATGTATAGACTACTTGAATGGTTCAAAAAATTTCCTCAGGCTGAAAAGATTTTTTCGGAAAAGCCCCATTTCCACCCCCGCGAAGGCTTCTCCCCCACTTCTGCCCACCTGCTTTGTCCTTCCTGCATTTCTCTAGTAAAAACACGCAAACACGCACACATGGGTGTTCTCCCTCTCAGTCCTCTTCACACGGAGCCAGCACTTCAGGATGCGGAAAGGACATCACTGTGCCTGCTCGTTTCCTTGTCAGCAAACTGGATCTCTATGCCCTGGAGATCAAGCTGCAGGGGCTGCAGCCTGACAGGCTGAGGCTCAGTCCGAGTGCCTGGCGTGGCAGTGTGACCAGGGCACGCTGTTACCCTCGTGGTCTGTCTGACTGTCTTGGCGGAGGAGTGGTGACCAGACTCCGGACCCCGAGGTGCTCATGGCTGGGCTCTGGCTGGGGGGCCACTAGGGAGTCTCCTCCTTCCTGGGTGCAACGGAAAAGCAACGTAGCCTTCCTTGTGGAATCAGCAGTGGCATCCAGTAGGTTGCCTCTTGCAGCAGAGTTGTGTTGTTTGTTGACTCCAGTGAGGAATAAAGGGCCTGCAGGGTGGGCTGTGGTGAGACCAGCAGGCCTTGGCCTCCACGGCTCTTCAGTGAACATTTCAAACTACTCTTACACGAAGCTCCTCTCAGCGATGGACCTCTTTATTCTGCACTTTTCAGGCAGTGGCTCTTAAATCGGATCAGGGATGCTTTGGGGGAATCTGGGGAGACTCCTGGATGCCCATCTCTTAAGCTAAATGTCCAGGCAGGAGTTTGCCAAGGTCAGGAGCTCAACACCTCACTGAAGCCCATGGAGTTCAGGTTCAGACGAG